CCAACAGCACTACTTAGATTGAAGGGATGCAAGAGATTTTTCAAAGTGGTGTCATTTTGAATGATGATAAAGCTGTTGAAACTTTATTGAAGAGGTTGGAGACAAATCGAAAATGCCTTTATGTAGCAATGGGCAATGGCAATCCTAGTTCTAAGGAATCCAAAGCTAAGAATTACACAGAGCACAAGAGTGACAAGCCACAGAAAGCTTCCGGAAAGCTAAAAAAACGGTAAGCCTTCAAACTTTGCACATACTGTGGTTTCTGGGCCAAATAAAGGCAAATACGAAAAACTCAATGGAACTATGACCTCCAAATCACTGGATAAACAACCTATTGCTCTTGTTGAAAAGAGTAAATTGATAAATGATGGGAAAGCTAGTCAGAGAAATCCAAAGGTGGTTCCTTCTTCTGTGAAGGCTAATCATTCTAAGCAGACAGATAAAACATCTTCCCGAGTAGTGGACACCCTGAAGGCTTTACGGAAAAACCTAAAGTGAAGCCTCTCAAGAAAGACCCTCCAAATAAAGCTGAATCAATGGCTCAATCCTCTGCAAGCCCTATATCTTAAGATGCCAAGTCGCACAGAGTTAATGCACTTCCATGCTATGGTTTCAATTTCAAGTGTAATGAAAGTGCTGAAGAAAAGGAAAGAATTCTACTCTAAGCTAGAGGAAAAGATCCATGCAAAGGAAATGGAGCAGAAGAATGTGCAAGCAAAGACCAAGGAATCACAAGAAGCTGAGATCAAAATGTTTAGAAAGTCATTAACATTTAAAGCAACTCCAATGCCAATCTTCTATCAGGAGCCTCCACCTCCCAGGTGGAGCTGAAAAAGATTCCTACAACAAGAGCGAAATCTCCCAAGCTTGGCCGTAAAAAGGACTCTCCTTATAGAGAAGAGATCAATGACAATGAAAATGACAATGACATTCGGTCTAATAGGTTCAACTTAGATGAAAAGGTGTCATTGGGGTATAACCATGCAAAGGAGCATTCTCTTGTTACTCCTACAAGGACTCATCGCAAGTTTCTTCCTAAGTTGCCATCTCAGAATACCCATTTATTATCTCGTCAAACGAAGAAATCCTCCCATTCTAAAAGATTGATATTTTGCATGGAAGAAGTATCACCATCAACTGGTATGGAAAAAGAAAACGATGTCTCTTTGGTGAGGCACACTAACACTGGTGTCACTACAAGCGACATACGGGAGAAGAAATGATAAAGTAAAGCGAAATAACATAACGGATAAATGTAATAATTCGAAATGATTGATTGAATTGTGTATTTATTGTGATACTATTATATATTATTTTTTTGTTTCTTTTTGTTGTATTACATGTATTGCACTTTGTTTCATCGTGTTGCATTTTGTTGCATCTTGTTACTTTTTGTTGCACTATGTTTTTTATTATTGTTTATTCAGTTTTTTGTTATTTATTTGGATTTCTATATATTTTTCTAATCTTTAAACTTGAAATATCTATGTCGGCAATATGAACAAACACCAAAAATGTTAAATACAAATTAATGAATATGAACAACAAGAAACATGAAGAAACAATACGAAACAAGAAATTCAAAGTTATCAACAAAAAGAAACACAAAGAAACAATAGGAAACAAAAACTAAGATAATAATTATTAAAATATGTAACCTTTTGAAAAGCATAGTCACAAAATTCATATTTTTTTGTTTTTTTCAAAATTTTCAGGTTTCAATTTTTTACATTTTATTTTCATTTTTCATATTTTTATTTCTGATTCCTTTTATTTTACACATTTTATAATTTAATTTATTTCCATTTTTTAAGAATTTATTTTTAGGTTTTTATTTTATATATTTATTTGCTTTTTTTGAGTTTTGTTTTGTTTTTTCAAATTTAAACATTTATTTAAATTTCTTAGGTTTTAATTATTTATTTTTATGTTTTCCGGTTTTTAAAAGTTTACTCTTTTCATAAAAATATTGAAATGCCTTTCATTTTGTTTTAAAACAATTTTTATTTTACATATTTTGTTTATAGTTTTTAGGTGTTTAGGTTTTTTAATAATTCCCATGCTTTTGAGCTTACATTGATTTTCTTATTTTCAATTTTTATGAATTATATATTCTGTTTATATTTTATTTAAATATTGAATTCGAATTTTTCGAATATTTTCAATTTATATATTTATTTGAAATTTATAGTTCTTTTTATTTTGCATATATTTCAATTTTAAAAAAGTAATATTTCAAAAAAATTATATTTACTTTTTATAGTTTTAATAGTTTCAGAACATTTTCAATACTCCGTATTTAACTTGGAGGTTCAATTGGCATTTTTAATGAAACCTTTTTTGAAATTTTTATTTATACTTTGACTTTCATTCTATTTAAAAAGTCAAAAAGAAAAAAGAAAAAAAGAAAAATAAGTCCTGCAACGTTATGCGTTCAACAATTAGGCCACTGAGGAGTAGACATACGCATTTCATCATTTAGGGAGCAAAGATACGGATCTACTTGCTTCGGAAGGAGTACGAACGGAAGCATGGTCTATTTGTGAAATAAAAAGTTAAGTTGTCTTATTTTGAAAAAAACTTTAGATACTAAAAAATGTGATATTGTTTTCACTTTTAGCATGTTTGCGAAAATTTCCCTATATTAATACATAACATTAGATCTAAAAGCCCACTCTATTGTTGTGGCCTGCAAGATTAAACATTATTATGTTTTATTTTATTATTATTAGTTTTAGGTGATCGATAATAATATGAGCACACACATTTATGTAAAACCGCTGTTCTCTCTTATAAGTTCTTGTGTGTTGTATTCAACTCGCTAGATTTACTAATTTAAAATACCTTAAATATGATATTTTATTTTTAATTGGATCAAAATACCCGCTGCCTGAAATTTGCCAGAAATTATTTCCCGATCTACCAAAATTCCTTCGTCGTCGTTGCCGGAGTTTGCTCCACTGACAAACTGATTTGGTTACACAAGAAAAATATGGGCCAATTAATTAAGTCAATTAATTATTTAATTAGAGGTAGAAATGGACTGATAAGTCTTATTTCGGTAAACCACTGAGCTGCCAGAAATCCGTTGCTGCCGCCGGCTACCAGCCTACCACCACCATGGACGGATCCCGTCTCAACGAATTGCCTTGATTATGCAATGTAGGGGTGGGCAAAACGGTTTATGATTTCAGTTTTCTTCGGTTTCGGTTTATTCGGGTTGGGAGAATTTGTACCAAACTATAACCATTTGTGTTTCGGTTTGATTTTGGTTCGGTTTATCAAAGTGAAAATTATTAGGTTCAATTTAGTACGACTTGATTCGATTTCTTATGTTTATTATTAATTCGACCAAGTTCTATATTTTAGAATTGGATAATGAAAGTAGTGGTCTATCTCATCTTCTTTTATTTATTTTTTAAATGAAATGTACAAGGTAATAAAAGATACAAAAAGAAATAAAAAAATATTATTACGTATACGTTAAAACATCTATCATCTTTTCAATCACTAAGAAAAGATTCACTTCTCACAAAACATGAATTTATAGTTGATTAGCATTTATAATATCACATAAAATATTCAAAGAAAATAAATGAGTCAATGGTGCAAATGTTGTATTATTCACAATTTTATTCAAATAAATCATGTAAAAAAAAATATAAATGTAATTTGCTATTGTTATTGCCAAATATCTTCTCATACAGGTAGAGTACAAAACATAACAAAATATAAATACGTCGTATTAGCTAACTTTGTCATAATGAATGTATGAAATGTCTAAAAGTTAAAATGATACATAGTATCTGCTAAATTTGTATTTTTCATGCCTAAATGATACATTTATATTATATCCTAAAGATGAAGGGTGAAGAAAAATACAAAGTATTTATATATACTCGAAGATATTCGGTGTTCTATTCGGTTTACGATTTTTTGGTTTTAAACTAAACCAAACCATTCAACCACCAATTTTTGGTTCAGTTCGATCAATTTTCGGTTCGGTTCGATCAAACCAAATCATTTTGCCCAGACCTAAATGCAAGGGAACTGGGGGGAATTAATTTATTCGGTTAATTAATTAAGTAATTAAATTAGATGTAGAAATGAAATAGTAATATAATTTATTTATGTAAATGTGATCATTTTGCCTTATACTATAAAAAAACTACTAGCTACGTTAGCTTGAAACGATAGCATTCTTTCAAGCTTACGAATAATTCCAGAAATAATTGCTACTTTTAAGATAGCTATTTTAAAAATAATTTGGAATCTTCCTCACATTTCTTTGTAAAACATTTGCAAATTTTTTTTATTCAAATCATTAAAATGACAAGGCATTGTATATGACAATAAAAAGTTGGGTCTCAAAAGTCAAACCCCACTTAATTTGTTTTGCAAACTAAAACCCATTTAATTTTAGGTGAGAACTCCGATACCCATTTAAAAATTGGGGTACCGTACCTATCATCCATTTGATTGGTCCAAATAGGTATATCATTTTTAATTTAGACTTAAATAATTCAACTGTAATATTTTGAGTAGTCCACATGTACAAAGGTATAAGACCTTATGAGTACCATAGAATCTACCTTAATTTTTAAACGTTTCTCATGTCAAGTTGATTACGTGCTAGGTAACGAGCACGTTACGTGCATTTTAAAATTTTCGCAATAATTATGCGTAGTATACTAGTATTATTATTACAACAAAGGGAAAATGGTCAGATAGGTCCTCGAACATACATAAAAAAGGTCATATAAGCCCTTATATAGGAGGCGCTGTCTGGCCGTCGCCATTTGGGGCGGTTCCTGCAGGGTGGAATATTTTGATGAAATTTTTTGAGCATATTATTCATTAAGTCTAATCTACTTATACCAAATTTCAGCTACACATTCAATCGGGAAGGCATTCAAATGAATTCTTGACGATAACTGCGCAGTTAAAAGCGCAATTATCTTCAAAAATTCATTTGAATGCCTTCCCGATTGAATTGTTAGCTGAAATCTGGTATGAGTAAACTAGACTTAATGAATAAGATGCTCAAAAAAAAATTCATCAAAAAACTCCACCTGGAACTGTCCAAATGGAGACGTCCGAACAGGGCCTCCTATATAAAGGCTTATTTGACTTTTTGATGTAAGTTCGAGAATCTATTTGACACTTTTCCCTACAACAAATGATAATAAGTTTTACATACTCCCCGTGAAATGAGTTTTGTTATTTCCCTTTTATCAAAATTGGAAATGAGACTAATAAGAATTTGGAACAACACATTTAGTAAAAGAATTGTTGGGAAATTATCACGAGTAGGCTTAAGAGTGCAAATAATATCACTTTTTTCACTATCTAAAGGGTTTTTCAAAATTAGACAACTTGTACTATTTATTTCACAAATAGACCATGCTCCTGTACGTGTTCCTTCTGAAGCAGCTAAGTTCCGTATCATTGCTCCCTAATTGATGAAACTACGTATCTCTACTCCTTAGTGGCCAAGTTGTTGAACTCATAAAGTTGTAGGAGTTCTTTTTTTTTTTTTTTATCTTTTGAATAGAATAAAATTCAAAATAAAAATAAAAATTTCAAAAAAAGTTGCAATAAATATGCCAATTGAACATTTAAGTTAAAGTTTAGAAACAACTATGAAAATGTAAAAAAAAATATAAAAAATTTCTGAAACTATTAAAAATATAGGAAGTAATTAGATTTGTTTTTGAAAGATTAATTTTTTAAAATTGGAATATATGCAAAATAAAAAATATATAAAATTCAAATAAATATACACATTGAAAATATTCAAAAATTTTAAATTAAATATTTATATAAAATATAAACAGAGTTTATAATTCATAAAAAATAAAAACAAGAAAATCAATGTAAGCTCAAAAGCATGTGAAATATTAAAAAACCTAAACACCTAAAAAATTATAGGAAAATATATAAAATTAAATAAAAACGTTTTAAAACTATAAAAAGTGTGAAAGGCATTTCAAGATTATTAAGAAAAAGTAAACTTTAAAAAACCTGAAAATATAAAAAGAAAATAAAAATTCAGAAATTTAAATAAATGCTTAAATTTGAAAAAAAAATATAAAAACTCAAAAAATTTACAAAAGTTATAAACTAAAAACCGAAAAATAAATTCTTAAAAAATGGGAAATAATTTAAATTATAAAATGTGTAAAATAGAAGAAATTGGAAATAAAAATTTTAAAAATTAAAAAAATGTAAAAAATTAATTAATAATAACATCTTATTGTTGGTTTTTTTTCTTTTTGTTGTTAAATTTATAATTTTGTTTCTTTGTTGTTTCTCCATGTTTCGTCATGTTTCTTGTTGTTGATAATATTTATAAATTCACATTTATTGCTTTAGGTGTTTTTATAAGCATATCTATAGATGGTTTTGTGTTTCAAATAAGTAGCACATATAAATAGCAACCTAATTGGAAATAAAAAATCAAAATTAATTATAAATAACAATAAACAACACGATACAACAAAATGAAACACGATACAACAAAATGAAACACATACGATGCAACAAAAAGAAACAAAAACAACATATGAAAATATCACTATAAATAAATAACAATCACAAAGAGGGCATACCCCCCAATCAAGCAAGAGCATAACAAGTCAATGCTTCATGCACTAGTATATTGCACTAAACAACAAATATAACAGCCCCATACAATCTGCCAAGAACATAAGTTTCTCAAAGGAACAAATAGCATAACGTAGTTGACCCGCACAGTGTGCCCAAAGCAGCATCAACAACATCATGCACCCCCCCCCCCCCTCTATCACCAAAGTATAAGACAAAGCACTAGTACACAATTTGCTTATCAATACATACAAAACTCCCGAGGCATCACACCGAGATAGCAACCAATGCACCGCCATAAGATATCAATAAATTTGGTAGGATATAGTCTGAATAACACTGCACCTTGTACACCAAGAGTTTAATCTACAAAATGCACACTATCAACAATAATCACCTTTTGAGCAAAACTAGACTCATTCCTGTTAGGCTTGCAAATTGTGTAAAAAGTGAAGGAAATGGATAGCTGAACGGCCTTGCGGCCCATGCTCAATATCCTTGCACCTCTATATTGTTTAAGGCACACTTTGACTGAACTGAACACGGTAGAAGTATACTTTTTAAGTCTCATCTAAGGACCAAACCTTTACTACACTTCTTAGTGGATAGACATTTAAGATGTTTTATCATTATAGATGTGTGTGCATATACACACCCACATCAAATTATTGCGTACACATGGAATCATATATAAAAATAAACGTTAAAAATTAACCATTGAAAACTGATCAACATGAAACAACAAAAAGAAACATGTTGCAACAACAAAAAACAAATTAAAAAGCACCAAAAAGCAACAAAATCAACAATAAGAAACAAAAAAAAAACTCCTGAATTATGTTTGCAATAGTGGACAAAAATATAAATCCGTCAAATGGAAGTAGGTACACTGACTTTTTTCTAATAGTACACATCTTCTAAAAACTATCTTAGGTTTGGAGCAACTAGGGTGTAGAAGAAACAAGAGCAACCCTGAAATAAAAGTTTGTAGATTAGAAACTTGAAACTCCTGATGCAGCAGATGACTAGAAGAAAGCTGCATGAAAGTCTGGTTATAATAGAAAGATCAGAAGAAAGCTGCATGAAAGTCTAGTTATAATAGGATGATCAAGCTTGAGATTTGGATTGAGAACAACTCAGCAATGCAATAAGTAACCAGAATAGTTGTCTAATGCATACAAAGCATGATAAAATTGACTACATAATGTACCATTGATAAATGATAATGAAAAGAATATAGTTTTTCAATAAAAAGGTAAATTAGCTCAAGAGGAAAACATAGCTTATTGAAGTATGTCTATCTTACTATCTGAAACCTCACTATGAATTTTGCAATCTAATATTATAGCCAAATTAAGTTGACTTCATAACTTAACTGATGCAGTGAATACAAATGAACTACATAAAAGCAAGTTAAAAGCTCCATGTGGTTGTGACTTGTGAGCACTGCATGTCTGCATAAGTATATACATAATTAGGATTATTTTCAGTCTCAATATTTTAAGTGCAATACAAAAGTATATACACTGGTTAATATATACTCTCTACATGTGCAAAAAAGTAAACCAAAAAATAGTGAAATATGTGTTTTCTAGTTTGGAATTTAAGTTACCACTACCAAAACGAATCAGATTGATAATACTTTATTAATAATGTGCAGAGTATTACTAATACTAAATAGGTTACATTGGTATCTGTCATTATTCTCACAAATATATAACACTTTAAACTTAAAAAGTTATTCACAATCCAACAAAAGTATTGAAAGATCTGAATCCAGAAGTTTTTATTTTTTTAAAGGAGTACAATGATTGATACCTTGAGTTGGTAAAACTGAGGATCTTTAAATTTAGTTCAGTTTCAGATCTGAATCCAGAAGTTTAGTTGCATCACCTTGATTAACTGTATGCTAGAACTTGAATAAATTTCAATTCATGCATGAACCAAATTAGTTTCATACAGGGAAATAGAGAATTCGATTTTGTGGAAGTTTATTATTCAATTTTAATTCAGTAAAACCTAACAAACGAAAAATTCTAATCAAATTTTCCCATTCAAGACATAGTGTGACTCGGAGATGACATATGAATAAGAAGCACTTGAGGAGTTCCCTGAATTCGCTGATCAGATAGAGTGCGGCAAGACGGCTAGGATATCATTGCTGTGAGGGCCTGGCGAGTTGACATCCCAAGTAGCGGAAACTAGCGACTATGGCAAGATGACGTTGATGTTTTGTAGAACGGAAGAGGAGAAGCCGAAGAAGCTAAGGATACGTGAACGAATTAGGGATCTGAAAATACACGTTGAGATCGGTTGATAGAGCAGCGGCGGCAAATTTAAGGTGAAGTCTATGAGTAAGGCAGTTGGAAATTGATTGAAAAAATTGTAAGATGCACAGACGCGAAGGAGCCAAGAGATGAAGCCGAAGGTCGATGCGGAGCCAGATTTTTTGGATTTGATTGTGTTTAATGTTTTGACTCTTTTTGAAATAAAGAAACTAAATTGAAAAGTTGAATGTTAAATGTGAAAAATAATACGGAGGTGGACATAAATGAAATACTAAGCACAAAACTGGACTCTTCGGGTAATTAGCACAGAATTGTTTTGAGAAAAATTGTATGAAGTGTAATTTTTATCGATTTTTCTATTTTTAAAATATTAGAGAAAATTGTTCAAGCTAAGGACCTGTTTACTTGGCCGTGTAATTCACGGTTTGCTTATTAAGAAGCCTAAAGTAAACAATCCATGATGCGTAACTCCCACCGTACTAAGCAAAAGGGCCTCTTACCCGCCGTTTACTAAACCCCGCCTCCCCCCATGTTTTATTTAACCGGCCACTTAAGCAATTCTTTATTGACCATCCTGCCCTTTTTCTAAAGCCTTGTGAATTTTTTATTACGTGTATACCCTAGTTTAACCACACGCCTCTTCATCCTTTCCATTCATTCGACGACTCCTCTACCAACCTTCCTTCTCCTCCAAAGTTTCTTTCAAGCACAAGAAAAACTCTCTCTCGGATACAAGGGCTCCACCACCTACGAAACTTCTCCAATGTCTCAATCGACGCCCCAGGTATATTGTGTGAGTTAGATTTTGGAAATTTCTTGGATAAAAGGTTAAACCTAACCTGCGATAACACAAATTTTATACTCAATTTCGGCTTTGCATCTTTAGGTTACGTATTCAATTTGCTATTCGTATACTATTTGCATCTTTAGTTTCGGCTTTGCATCTTTAGATTGGGTATTTGGACCCTTCTGGGTTATTGATTGTGCTAATAAGCAAAATCTCTTTCCTGAAGATTTTTTAGGTATTTAAAAATTGTTTTATGGTTTTTGTTGGAAATAAGAAGGCTGCTTCATGTGTTTGGTGTTAGTAGTTTAATGACTGTATTTTTTGTCGTATGATTCAACCTTAGCTTTCTTTTGAGATTAAATAATTATCACAAAAACAAATAGGGAAGTATAATTTGGGTGTTGTTTTCAAACTTTCTTTTGCCTGGGAGCATAAGTATTAGTTCAATATGTTTTTTGGGAAGTATAATCAGGGAGTTTTTTAAACAAATTCTCATGCACTCTGGTTGTAATATGTTTTTCTTGTTTAACATGAATGGCATCAACCCCTATGGAGCTACCTAATTTCGAACTAAATCTGGCCCATATTGCACAGTTTGATGGCCAACCAAATTGAGGTTAAAAATCCAGGGGAGGCTAAATCCAGGGGAGAGATGAAAATACCCTTGAATCTTGGGATAAATGTAGCTACCATTTTCATCACACATTGAATCTTTCTATATCAATTACAGATATGAAAAAGTGTCGTGTTAAAGAGTAACATATTTTTATGAACAACCTACTACCAAACATATAATGAACAATGTGAGTCCCCCGAAAGAACGTATTTGCCAAGATTATTATTGAGTAGTTTTAAAACTTTCTTATCCACTTTGTTGGAGTTGGTATTTTAATATTCTAGCATCGTTAGTTGTTATAGTTGGTAGAAAGGACAAATAAAATTCTCTTATTTGTCTTTGTTGGTTTATGTTTTTTTTCAAAGATGAAACATGTTGAAAAGGCAACACGAAGGAAATGGTCTATACAAGAAGACCAAACTCTTATTGCTTGCATGGTTGAATTGCATAGTGGTGGCACACATAATGGGAAAAAAGGAGGATTTGAAGCAGGATATTTAAGTGAGTTAGCAAAAATGATGTTAGTCAAGTTACCTCATTCTCACTTGGAGGCCAAACCACACATTGAGTCTCGTATAAGAACACTGAAACAAGTTTGGCAAGAGTATTATGACTTATTGAATGGTCGCAGTGCTTCATTAAGTGGATTTGGATGGGATTCTACAGCAAAAATGGTCACCGCTCCTAATGAAGTATGGAAAGCTCTTAGTGAGGTAATGTGATTAATTAATTTTTTTATGACTTAACACTTCCTCCCTTTTGTTTTTTGTATTAATATGAGTATATAATTTCAGAGTAGACCTAAGGTTGCAGCATTAAGGCGAAAGAGTTTGTGGTATTATGAAGAATTTTGTACTATTTACTCGGTGGATCGTGCTACTGGAGCTACAGCGATGGAGTGTGAAGATATGGCTAAAGATACGGAACTGGAGTTAATGTTTGAATCAGAAGATATAGAAGACTCCTCCATGCCAGGTAGTGATGATAAAAATCCATCAAAGAGAGTTGCAGGATCTGCCATTGACCATCCATCAAAGAGAGTTGCAGGATCTGGTGCCAATGACCGTGGTAAGAAGTGCAAGAGCGGTCCAAGTATTGATAATTTTTCATTTTATGTAGAGGCTGCTTCTATTCGACTTGAAAAGGCGGGATTGGAGATGTCGAGGGTGGAAACAGATATCGCTGATAAGACATCACGCCTCCCAAATGCTTTAGATCAACTCGAAGGCATGACTAAGGTTATGAAATTTAAACTTATGAAGAAAATGGGGAAAAACCAGAGTGAGCTGTTGTACTTCTATGGTTTGGCAGATGAAGAAAAGATGGAGTGGTGTCAGTGGTATTTAGAAGATGAATCATGATATGTTATCGCAGTGATGATTTTGTATTTCTCTTATGTTCACTACTCTCGTTGGATGGTTTTATCTATTTCATAACTGTGTTAGACGATTTCCAGATTGGTGCTTTAATTTGATACATTTATCTAGCTCATTGGATGATTTGTTTGTTTCATTATTTATGGTAAACTACCAGATTGGCCATTCCGATTCCTTTACTTTGCTGGTGTTTTTCCTAAACTGTAGTAATCTGAATGGAAACCAATTAAAACCAAACTAACCCCAAACTGGCCATTCCAATTCCTAACACATCTATAGTTCAGCAGGTTTCACTTATGACTATTGTTAATTGAATGTGCTCATCTTCACTGAAAAATAAATGAAAAATTGGGCAGCCAACTGTTGATGTGCTTAACATTACATTGTCAATGTTACAATGATAAGATGAGCTAAACAAAAGAAACGAATTTCCAGAAAATCCAAACATGTAATTACAGCAATACCATGAAGACTGATGTCAATGGCAAACAAAACAGTAGCTCCATACAAGTACTTCCTGTGAATAACCACTCCCCTAACACTTCAGTTATGCTGGAGGAACATATTGTTGTAAACAAAACTAGTAGTCTACTAAACACATGCACACACTGTCTAGTGTCTATCACTGCCAAAAAACCATTTTTACAAACAATGATAAATAGAGTTTCATACTTAATTCAAAAGTCTTCAAAAAAAACATAAATTGTTCTTTGATAATGCCTTCTAAGCCATCCAAGCGTTGTACATTTCTGGTGCTAAATCTTCTCGAAATGCAGTCCATGCTTCAGTAGGACATAAGTCAACTCCACCAAAATTCTCTTCTTCGTCTTCTTCATCATCATCTTCATCTTCTTCTATCTCCTCATCCTCCATTGGATCAATATCGTGTTCACGTCGAATGAAGTTATGTAATAAAGCACATGCCACTATTATCCGACAGCTCATACGAATAGGATACCATGAGGCACTCCGTAAGATGGCCCATCGATTCTTAAGTAATCCAAATCCACGCTCAATCACATTCCTAGCTTGTGAGTGCTTCATATTAAAATATTCATGCACATTATGAGGGTTATTATTGTTTTGCCATTCAGACAAATGATACCTTTGTCCTCTATAAGGTGCAAGAAATCCTTCACAATTTGCATACCCTCCGTCAACCAAATAATAGCATCCTGTATTAACAACAAGAATGATTTACTAAATTAATATCCAATAACATAATTAATATAAATAATAGTTATGTTACATAAAGATGGTATGCAAACACTTATACCTTGTGGAACTCGAAACCTTCTTGTGAGGGCATCTCGCAAAACTCTACCATCTGCGGCTGATCCCTCCCACCCAGGAAAAACATAGATGAATTGCATTTGTGGATTGCACACCCCAAGTACATTAGTAGCAATGTCTCCTTTTCGAGAACGAAATCGGTTATGATCTTTGGGTGATACATGAACATCAATATAAGTGCCATCTAGTGCACCCACACAATTCTGCAACATTATAGTCATACATATTACAAACATGGTTCAACTGATAGTTATACATACAATGTTCAATATACTAACTAAGATAAGCACCTGAAATATTCCCCATCGATCATCATTGCAATCCATTGTAATTGCTTTAGGTTTGGCAAACAAAATCGAATGCAGTTGTAACACCGCATGTAATACCTTAGCAACGCATGTACTGATTGTTCTCCCAGATCTTTGAAACTCCGTTATTAATGTTCTATTTTTTCGATGATGGGATAATACAAGTAGAAAAATAGCTACTTGTTCTTCTACTATCATATGTTTGGTTGGTTTCAACCCACCATTTGTAACCAACATATCACAAAGTTTCAAAAAAGCAACACGACTCATCCGCAATTGGGATATGCAGTTTGCTTCAGGCCCATGTACTAATCTCTTAAAAAATCCCTCCCTCTTGGAATAATTATCTATTATATAACGAATACGTTGTGTCCGTCTACACCTTGTAGATAATGCAACAAACATCCACAATATGGTATTCATAAACCATGTTTGAACATTAAACCACCAATGTATGGACTTTCTTCTCAAGCTACGTTTTGAACTTAAAGCCCTATGCGCTAGTGCATAGGTGTTTGGTGTTTCACTTCCTTCCATTCTCTGAAATTAACAAAAGTGTAGTTAAACATGAAATTAAAAGCAAATCATGTTTGTTCAACATTAGTAAAAAAATATAAAACTCATTTTTAAAGGTTACAAGAGGCAGCATGTCTTTGAGGTGAAGGAACCGCCGTTCGGCTGAGGGCAAATCGGGCACTTCCCAATCGAATTTTATGATGAAATTTTTTGAGCATGTTCTTTATCAAATATATTTTATCCATACCAAATTTCAGCTCCAAATTCGATCGGGAAGGCATTCAAATAATTTCTTGAAGTTGACTGCATTTTTATATGTATATTTTGACGCAGTCAACTTCAAAAAATTATTTCAATGCCTTCCTGATCGAATTTTGAACTTAAATTTGGTATGAATAAACTAGACTTAATGAAAAACATGCTCAAAAAATTTCATCAACAAATTCGACCGGGAAGTGCCCGAAATGCCCTCGGCCGGACGGCGGTTCCCGTCAGGTCGGCTGGACAAGAACGGGACTCTACATATGTATACAATATACACATACATACTTTCTTTTGTATATTTTCCAGAAAGGGAACCCACATATGTCGACTCAGATACAAGAAAAGTTCAACATCTTGCTGCCTGTACAAACTAATAATACTATTATGTTCGTTGTATTAGCCAATTCCTCGTAAGCAGACCAAAATTAAGATCAACCAATGGGTACTCATGTTTTTGGAAGTATATATTTCAGATAAATTTACAAACACAAAGAGCTCAAAGAACATAAGAAGCCATGTTTTCATTGACCTTTCAATATATATATATATATATATATATATATATATATTCTTCTGTTTATTTTGTACAACCTTTCTTGTGAAGAAGATAAACAGTACACTTTCTGCCATGGAAGTCGAAGACAGAGCTCGCTCGGTTCTCTCAAGGCAAATAGAAAATTTCAGCCTTATTAATCGTATAGAGGAAACAAAAATTGGAAGAAGAAAGTACATACTGGAGGCTATGGCGGGCTTGCTAGATACGGAGTAAGGATGTTCGTCGATGGTGAAGAGGAACGTTTCGTTTGCTTCTAGCCAAATAACACGATCAAAGAAGCGGGTACTGCGATGAAGATGGCGGGATTGCGATATACGGGGTAAGGTTATTGTTGACATTTTGTATATAACACACCCTTTAAGCCCAATGAAGTAAATGTGTGTTAGGTTATTTAAGCCCAAATTCAAAACAAAGTAAACATGTTCTTAGTAAGCCTATCTTAATAAGCAATGGCTTATTACCCCATGTCTTAATAAGCGTTGCTTATTTCCCAACAAAGTAAACATGTCCTAAGTAAGGATAAGGTCTACTGTCTACACGCCATTACCTGACCTATTAAAAGTAATTCTAAGGCTAACCGCAACCCATTCCGTCAATAAATTTAATCCCCCACCTTTTTATACGTATTCATTCAATCAATTCAATTTTTTCTTGCAACCCAGTGCCGTCAATATATTGACTCAGGACATATTGTTTTATAATGAAATGCATAAATCCTTACATTTTTTATTTTACATCGTCTAAGTGACAATTTCATTTTTACGAATAATTATAATTTAAAAAGTCAAGCATTTCGATGTAAAAATAAATAAATTTAGAGTTTATTTTTTTTTTGTTATTTCAGGCCTATATTTTAAAAACATAATCAAAAGGTGTAAAAAAATTATACATGAGATATTGTTTTTAACATTTGGAGCTACTTAAGAATAATTTTGAGTCTAAAGATCTCCATCAGATAAATCATCATATTTTTTTAATTATATATGTATTTGATATTGGTGTCAAATGAAAGATCATAAAAAGTTATAAATTTTGATATATTATTTATAAAAATTGAATCATTAATAAAAAGGTTATACCATTTTAAAAAAAATTGGGATTTCTATCTTTCAAGGAGTTCACATTTTTTTCTTTGCTTGTCACACCGAGGAAACTATTTTTCTCTCTCCAAGAGTCAATCCGGCGGCTATATCCCCACGCAAGGGGTTTCCCCAACCCACTATAAGACCTTGCTATACTCATTTTGGCTTGGGTTGCAGCTCAAATTGGGGGTGAAAACATCAAATTTGGGGTTGCACTCCCTTGCATTGCGGATAGCCTAATAACGAATATACTAATTCAAGAGTTGATAATTCCTCGAGTCCTAATCCTATAAGGTACACAACTAACACAAATACACAAGATGACAAGAGTAACACAAAAGGTTTTGCTTAATCTTGATCGTTAGATGCTTAATCGCTATGGTATTTCCGGATTACCTTGAATTGTGCGTGAACGATGGATCTGCCCCGGGACAAACGATATAACGACTTTTTGGCACTTGTTCTTGATGATTTGAAAACCGGCGAAATGAATCGCAATTTTACACTACGTAATTTATTCTTCACAAAATTAAAGTTACCGCTATTACCGTGTTTCAAATTGGACTGATTTTATTTAAAAAAAATGGATTGATTTCGGTCACAGACTATATATACAAGAGCATAAGTCGTATCATACCACATCATAATTCATATCATAATTTGACTTTACATTCTATGTTTTGGGTGATATTTTACTTTGTATCATGTTTTTAAAATCATTAATGTATGCACTCTATTAGCTCAAAATTGTGAAAGTGTAACGTGCAAAGTCAAATGATTGTAGAGTGAATGTTGTGATAATAGAATGTAAAGTCAAGTATCATGTATGAGATGCAAATGCAAATTCTCCCTAATTTTTGTGTGTGGAAGAAAATTCTCCCTAATTATAAAGCACAAATAGAATTTACTACATTATCACACCAAATCAATTTAGTTCAAATCAAATCAAACTAGACTTAAACAGATTACTTAAATGAGATTAGACCATACTAAAAAGTAGGGGTGTACATAACGGTTTGGGTTAACCGAATCGAACCGTACCAAACCAAACTAAACTGAACCCAAACGGACCGTATGCAATTTGGTTTAAGTTTGGTACTATTTCTTCCAAACTGTATTAAACCGAACTGAAACGAAACCGATAAAAACCGAACAAAACCGAACTGAACTAAAGAAATTCCAAAAAAAAAAACTTCATATATTATTGAAAATTAACAAATTCAAACCGAGCCAAACCGAACCAAACTGAAAAATAGTATGGTTTTTGTTTGGTAATAATTCTTCCAACCCGTTTCAAACCGAACCGTACCGAAAACGATAAAAACCGAAACGAAAACCGATATGTCCAGCCCTACTAAAAAGTTAACATCAATAAAAATCAATGATGGTTCGTGTACACATCATTGTACACAACATTTTATATTATGGTCAAATGGTATGTGCACGTATAATTATCGGCGTGTTAAACAATTTGTGCCATTTGTTGTGTACGAATAGCATTTTGGTAAAACAATTATGTATAAAAATTAAAAAGAACTTAAGTCATAGTGACGTGAGCATGACACCGGCTAATCCGTTATCAGGGTCAAACATTTAGTTGTGACTTTTGTAGAGCAGCAAGCTGTAATGAATTGAATTCCTTTATTATACTTTGATGAGAAAGATCAGATGTGGTCAACTCATCCCACCACTATATAAGCAGAGCCTTCTTCCAACTCTCTGCATCTCTACATTTCTTCATACATCAAATTAAAACCAGCAATCCTATCATGGCCACCAAACTCCACATTGTGTATGTATCTCTATTCTATGTATATAGTTTTTTCCCTGTGTTGGAAATATTTTAATATTTCTGTTCTAATAAGTTTTTCTACTTTCAACTGATCTGGCATCTCGTATATTTCTATCAACTTTACCGCAGAAATAGAACATTAAATTCTAGCCTCGTCTCTGAATTTATTCATTTTTCAGTTTGACTATTTTATGATTTGTCAAGAACTCTGTTTCATAAGCCTTCTTGGTTTCTCGATCCGTGATCCTCGATCGATCGATTGATTAAGTACCTAATACGAGTCGTATATTTTCTCATACAAATTCTTTATGTTGCTACTTGCTACTGTATACCCAGAGCCCATATATTATCGTTAAGCGTTGACTTCCTGGGAGAATAATACTCCGTATTAGGAAAAACTGATAAATCCCAACTATCGGAGGTCCGCTCATAATAATCCCAACTATGAATTGTTTCAGAATAATCCCTAACTTTAGGGACCTTCCGCCGATAATGGTTCGAAGTGATCGATTATAAATAAATTCATATAGTTTCTAAAGTGGATGAGAAGAGATATACTAGTAGCAAATAATTCCTATATATAATCCCAACATTTAATTTTTAAACTCAGTCTACTTTGCTACTCTAAAATACTACTCGGGAATTTTTTTTGTATTGAAATTGAAATGAATTCTTGTGATCTAATTTGATAGATGTTGTCCTATGTGTAGAATTGTCAAAAAGTGTGATCTAATCCGTTATTTGATCTGCTCTAAAACGTGGCAGGTACTACTCCACTTACGGACATGTTGAGAAGTTAGCCCATGAAATCAAGAAAGGAGCAGACTCCGTTGAAGGCGTAGAGGCCAAGCTCTTTCAGGTCTGTGTCACTAATTTGGGTGGAAAAGTTTTTGTGGAAGGCCATGTATTGAATGAGACCGCCTAAATTGTGATATTAATAGAATGAATGTGAATGGAACAGGTTCCAGAAACCCTGTCCGATGATATCCTCGGAAAACTGGGCGCACCCCCGAAGAGTGACGTTCCGATCATATCCCCCCACGACCTCCCGGAAGCCGACGGTTTCATCTTTGGGTTCCCCACCAGATACGGAATGATGGCTGCTCAGTTCAAGGCGTTTCTGGACGCCACCGGCGGTCTGTGGAGGACCCAGGCGTTAGCCGGCAAGCCCGCCGGCCTTTTCTACAGCACCGGTTCCCAGGGCGGTGGCCAAGAAACTACCGCGTTAGTTCCTTCAATTCTCTCCTTTAAATGAATAAACCGTACCAGTGGGCGTGGCTCAACTCGTAGCGAGTGAGTGCCACAATGGTAAGGTTTCAGATTTGAATTCTGGCAACTGCGATAAAAGGTTACTATGCTAAAAATGCATAGGACATCTGCAAATAACGTGGACAAAAACCTCACTCTCTATCTGTATAGTCCAATTTATATACTCGCATCGTGCAGATGTTGGGGGCCCTCAAGAATGGGGTGTCCTACATCGATATATTTCCACTCTCGGGTCCTTTTTCGAATACTGAATTAATAAAAATCCTTTACATTATTAAAGATAAAGAAGAACTAACTTTGGTATGACGTTTCTTTCGATCTAGTCATCTAGACATTGTGGGGGCAGGGCATATATGCAGAAAGAACTAATTACACATTATTATTGGGTGTACATCCGGAAATACATAATTATTAATTGTGATTATGAATGATGATTACAGGCTAACAGCAATTACTCAATTGGTTCACCACGGTATGATATACGTGCCGATCGGGTACACGTTCGGAGCGGGCATGTTTGAGATGGAGCAGGTGAAGGGCGGGAGCCCTTACGGCTCGGGGACTTATGCGGGGGACGGGTCCCGGCAGCCAAGCCAGCTGGAGCTGGAGCAGGCCTTCCACCAGGGCAAATACATCGCTTCTATCACCAAGAAGCTTAAAGCAGGATCCGCTGCTCTCTGATCTATCTCCTGGCCCATCCATTAATTGCCCTCCCAAATAAAGACGCCCGCCCGACCCGGCCCCTTTCTTATTTAATGTAATAGTGTTTTTAATTAAAGTTTTTGGACCTTATTGTTTGTGTTCTTTTATTAGTATATGTATATGTATTATTGGAGGGGTTTGAGGCGGGAATGCAACCCCCAATTCAATATTGATGTACTATACATACAAACCATTAGTTAAATAATACCACCTCCGTCGCCTTTTTATTGTCCCTTTATGGTTAACGATATTTTATCGACGATAAAGCAAACAGATTCATGTCCACACTCAAATTATTTTTAGGAGAAAAAATTACATATTCAGAAACTACATTAAATGTTTTACAAAGTCGCAAAAACCTGAATCAAATTTGATTTTTTGATATACTCCGTATAAAGTAAGAAATTAAGAGTGATTTATGTTGACCAAGTGAATAGGAACTGAGACAATATAAAGGGGACGGAGGGAGTAATATATCTAGGGGTGGTTCGATATATGATATACCGAATATTTTCTCTCATACCTTTACTGTACCAAAACTTTCGGTATACAAAATTTATATATCGTTACCTTACCGAAGTTTCGGTATACCGCATTTCGGCATACCGAAGTTTCGATTTGGTAACGGTACGCTATCGGTAAATTACCATGCATGTCTTCCAGTACAATAAATAATCATAGACTAACGAAACATACTAAATCGTTGTTACTAGTGACATATTTAATCCATTATTAAAATCTTACAAAATACAATTAATAATCTATTGATGTCAATTCAATATTGAACAATAATTATTATTAGTATATTTTAGCAATTCAACATGCCACGTATTAAAAAATAGCACATTCTCCTAAAATAACTTGAGCAATATAGATATACTTTTTGATAGAGTATATGGGCCTGGACCCCATGGCCCACATACTCAACGGCCCAAAAAACACCAGCGGGACACCCGCATCGGCCAAAGGCACGTGACGTCCAAGAGAGAAGATATCGCCTGATTTCTATGGACCGCATCGTCCATGGACCGCGTCGTCCATGGACCGCATATTCCATGGACCGCATCGTCCGGACTTCGTCCAGGCAGAATGTATTTTCCTATTTTTTGTACTAAGTGTTGTACTCAGCCCATTAGTGGCCTTATTCGCCCAAAGAAGGCATGATTATTGTAATGGGCCTCCTAAGCTCAAGGCTAGGGGGGCCCAAATCCACATTTTTACCTATAAATAGACCCCAATGGGCTAATTATAGGGGGTTACAAGTTGAGAAATATACTTACTCACTTTCTCTCTCTAGCTCTCACTTCTCTCTAGAATTAATACTCTATCACTTTTTAAAAAATATTTGATTAAGACTTTCAGACAAAGTTGTGTGCCTCGACTCGCGGAATTCTTATGTAGATACACTCGTACATAAGTGTATCCATCTTCATTCGTCAGCTACTCAGCGGCTCAGCCATCAGCACTCGTAAGCTCTTGGAACAAGATGAACTTGTTTATGGACATTAGTCATTAGTGTTAGTTTGTTTGAATGTTATGTAGTAGAAGCCCAGAAGGTTATAGTGGGTTTGAGAAATTGTTCCTTTATTTTTGTATTTTGGTATTTGTAACCAATCTAAATATTAATTTTGGGCTTCCCAAAATTGTACTGGATTTTTAAAATATATTAGAATTAAAAGTGATAATTGGGTAGGGAGTCGGGACGGTATTATATCGGTACACCGCGGTATTTGAAAACATTTACCGTTACCGTACCGAAATAAATCGGTACGGTATGATACCGTAACGAAAATCATGGTATACCAATATTTTGATATTTTCCGGTATTTTTCGGCACTATAAGTGTGGTATACCGATTTTTCGGTATTTTTTCCCACCCCTATCTTACTATATATATTAAATGCCTAAGCCGGTTAGTTGGATTGTTTCCGTTTATACAGTGTCGACGGAAACTCCTGTTTAGCGCACTGAAACTAACCGTGATATTTGCTCAGCTTGCGGATGGGCTTCAATATCTCTTTCGACGCCGGGCATAGACCTTCATTTTTCGTTTCTGCGCTCTTCCATTTCAGAGACTAGGGTTCACAAAAATCCTACCGCAAAAGCCGCCCAGCGTGAGTATCATTGTTGCCTCGATAATCATTGCCTCTTAACTAAGATTTCTTCTCCTATTTTGGCAGCTTCTCATATGCGACGAAGTACTCGTAGGTTACAGATGAGGCTGATTCTCATATATGACGAATTGAAGTTTCATTTATGGGCTATTTGGTTTCAGGTGGGTGAATTACAGATCTATCTAAAGGCTATTAGGTTATCTCTTTTCAGTTTGATGGTGATGATTCTCTCCTGTGGTTTGATAAGCTCTTATGTTGTCTTTATTTTTCAAATTAAGGTTAATCTCGTTTGTGTTATTTCCACTACGTTTTTGTTTAAGGTAATCAATAAGATAAAATGTTCTCTTTTATAAAAACTTGGCTTTTGTAGTTTCTTGTGTTACTCTGTTTTTAGGTTTCACATATGATTTTTCAATTGGTTTGGGAGAGCTTTGTCTGGAGAAAAGTTTGACCAACCGAGTATATCTTCAAATGTTTTACTGACGAATTATTAGCAGGTGGGTTTATACCATAAATAATTATTCCCGTTCCTAAACTCAGTGATGTTGTTTCGCGTCCATGAAATTGAAACTGTGGGTATACCTTGCAGAATATCTATGTTTTGATTGGCATGCTACATGGGGGATGCAAATGGAAGATGAATTTTGGTAAGCTCCCGTTTCCAAAGCTCACATGAAAAAAATACAGTGGTACCACGCTTAACCCATATCTTTGTTACATGATTCACTAAATCAAGGGAAATAGGTAGAGGCCAGAATCAAGTTAATTCACTAAAGGTACACAAGTATAATTCTAGGAACTTTTTCTAGCCTTTAGTACTGAGTAACTCAGTAAAGATTGTTGCAATGAGTTGTTGATTATTTATTTTCATGAATATGTTTGCCAATATGTTTGGTATATGTGCTTGCTAAGTAGTAGAGTTTTAAGTGAGACTTCCTTAAAGAAAACATATATTAGTGCAGTAGTACACCAACCAGATACAAACAACGAAGGCAAGAAAATGGTACACTTCTTTCCCATCTGAATTATTTTCTTATACATTTGTAATCCTCCTGCTTCTTGTAATACTATAAAATTTAAATGTAGAACATTTTGATTGACTAAATATTAAAGTGGACTCAAACCAAACATTCTTAATTTTTATCAACTAAGAATCTTAGTAAATGATTTTACTCGCTTAGCATGAAATTGGCATACCTGATTTTGACACTCTTTAAATAGTCTTAATATTTGAGAATCTTATTTGGTTTCACCTTTTTACACATCTGAACACCTGGTTTTGATACTGGATTTGATATATATATCTTACTATGTAAATAAATCTTACTATGTATATAAAATGCCAATGAAGGTTAGTTGGCCTATTTCCGTGTCTACAATGCTCAACGGAAACTTCATTTTGGCGCAAGTGAAAATAAGTCATGTTAGCGTTTTCTTCCCGTTCCAATTTTTCATGTGGCTATGAAAGTTGCTTGTTCCTGTTTGTTCATGTTACAACGTGTGGATGGGATTCTTCGAGTGATAATATCTCTTTCATTTCGCTCTTCCGTTGCTCCACCAGACATAAACCTTCGTTTCTTGGGTTTTCTTTAGGTACTATCTGTAAACTTCCGATTCGCTCTCGTATGGGACTTTCCCTAATGGCTGAAAACGAAATGAGTATTTTCTTCATCCAGTTTTAACCCCCTAAACCTATGATGCTTCATACTGAGGTTAAAATACTATTTGGAGACCAAGGGCTGCCCCTATTTGAGGTTAATTGTATTTTCTTATTCTATATATTCATGTTTGTTCTAGATTTGGACACATGAAATCAAATTGCTCTTGGAATGACACTAATAGTGTCACAGAACCAATGATGCCTATTGCTGAGGTTCCTACTGTCCCGATTAGCCCAACTGAGGCTACTGCTGATTTCATCTCCCCGGAAGATGTGAATGCTGTTTTTGAAGCTTCTGTTGATTCCCAAGTTAATTCCCCTTTTAATGCCCAGTTAGATGCATTTCCTATATAATAATTAATCAACATTTTGTAAATTATTCCCCTTATAATAAGTAATCAACATTTTGGAAATGTTATTCCCCTTATAATCCTACTTTTTTCCTTGCATTTTTTATGACAAAACTGAAGTCTGAATAGTCTGATATGATATTATAAGTAATCAATTCAAATCAATTATTTCAATCCAGCACTTAAGAATTGATATGATGATGGTGTTAACAAAAGGCAAATGTGTTCATTTTGTATCAATTTTCCCAATGGGCAAGGATTAAATCAATGGTGCAACTGCCATGATTGAACTACTCTTTTTTGTTTTGATTTTAATTGTTTTTGCATTGTTTTATTGCTTTTTTCCATCGTTGGGCATGGATTTCGTGCAACGCGCGCTACCATGCTAGTATATATATATCTATGTGGTTCTCCGAGTTTAATTTGTTGTTTCTATATATGTATGTGGGAGTCGTTAGCCTTTCAGCTGAGCCTCAAATATGCCACCTTTCAACAATTATGCTTTGGGTGATTAGGAACCTCTCACCCATTTTTTGTTGTTGATTTGACTCCTATTTAGCTTGTTGGGATAACGGGCCGGGTCCAGTACTATCGGCCTGTTGGAACAAAGCCTAGGCCCGATCAGGCCCAGGACACAGCCCGACTAGCGGAAATTGGTCCGTGCTTGTTTACTTATTTATTGGGTTTGCTGGCCCGTTAGCGTCAGTACTAGTTATTAAATTGGGCCAAGCTCACTTAGCATTATTATTTGGACTTGTGGTGAATGCCTATAAATAGGCCATCACCCCCATGTATTTCCAACGTTATTTTCACTATACTGAATTACTGCCAGTTTCTCTACCCGAGATATTTTCTACCAACACAGCTTTTTAACCAGATTAATTTTCTATGATGTGTGTTGGTTAATTGGTGTTTCTATGATGTTAAATGCCACTGAATCTAGCGTTTTGGTCTAGTCGTTTGAGAATTTAACCAATTATCCCTATACTACCTCACAATGCCCCCTATTCTTCTTCATGCTCGTGAGTGTAACATCCTCCACCCAAAAGAAAAAGAACACCAGTGGAGCAAGCCTTCTTCGTGAGTTACTCTACTCCAATTCAAATCATTTGTGTTTATGGAGGATATGAGATTGAGGAAGAATTGATGCACAGTCGGACAGGAGGATGCCAATTGATTTAGAGGGTAAAAGTGACCCCTGAGATTGTCATGAAAAGCTGCGAGAGAGGAAGATCCCCTTCACAATTCATTGGTATCTCCTCGATGGGAGTTATGAATATTGGGGTTGATAAAGCCATAGTTGAAGAGTGAAGACTGGTCGGTATAAAAAATTGATGAACTCACAAAGTCACAATTGGAGACTCTCCACAATTCGTCAATATAATTTTTTTAAATCATAAATAACGAATGTTGTAAATAATTGTTCTAATAGTATTAACAAAAAAAAATTGATGTCCTTAAAAGTGATTTAACAGATTATCAATTGATTGTAAACAGTCATTTAACCAAACAAATTATC